TATATATATATTTATTTATATATATATTTAGACTTTTATTGCAGAACTAACACGTCAAATTGTGTACTCGTGGATTTGACTTGTTTTAAATACCTAATTAAAGCCATTTTATTTGTAAATGTAACTGTCATATGGTCATGTGAAGAGACATCTCAATAACCACTTAAAACAGCATCTCTCTTCATAATAAAATAATGTATAGTTTTATTATATAATTCTAATTTTATAACAAACATTTAATTTACAGTATTAGATTTGATAAGACTTTGAGTGTCCTAGAGCCTTACACAGCCTGTTTTTTTTTTCAGTATTGTTTTAATAAGAATTTTTTTTTACTTTTTTGCTATTAATTGTTAAATTGAATTAAACTGAGTAAAACTGTGACAGTAATAATTATTAATTAACTTTTTATTACTCAATGTACTAAGATGACTTTTTGATGATTGAGTAAATCGTTAATTAATTATATTGGAGAAAACTTTACTTTTTACTATTAAATGTTAAAGTTCAATTAAACTTTAGATAATTTAATTTTGACAATAACCACAGTAGTAATTTCACTTGAGTATAATATCTTAGTGAATTTTTGACTGCTCATAATGTATGGAGTAAGCTGATTTGCCTTACTTCATATACAGAGCCTCCTGTATCCTCCGGTACATGTAACACTCCACATAGAGCCATGGTGACTTGAACCAGCTGACAGGCCTCCCGTCCTCCATCAGGTCCTGCTGTCTTCGCATGTATTCATTCCAGGCCTCTGTGTCCTCAGCATTATCAGTCAGAGCCAGAACAGGTTTGTCTGTCTGCAGCTCATTCCTCAGCTTGGACAGGAAGGAGATGGCTCTCTTCTCTGCCTGGATCCCCTCCTGATAAAACACATTATATAGAAGTTAAATCTGGGGAAACAAGTACAGGCAGGTCTGTTTTATTTTATGAATAACATCTGAAAATACTGAAGATTGTAACAATGGCAAATGTAAAAAAGCAAAAGATCACAAAAGATACCTCTCCATATTCTTTGAAGAAATTGTCTTTATTGCGGTGTAATGTGTCTATCACTTTTGTGAGTATGGTTGGTAGTCTGTCTCTCACAGTCAGATAGGCAAAGGACCTAGAAATGGGAAATAATTAAACCTTTTAGGTGAAATTATTATTAATTTATTTAAAATCAGTCTGTGATTCAGAAAAAAATAGCTACATTTATTATGGAAAACCTGTTAACGCTGAGACACAACATAAGGTTTCACTAGCACTAGTAATTTGAGGAATAAGGCAGAAATACATCTAAAAATGCATAAATAAAGACCATTACTATATGATAATAAGCAGTGGTTGGTTTTGTCACCGTCACTACATCCACATCCAGCAGCAGCATTGCCACTGAAATGAATGTGTTAAAAGCTGTTTAGTCACCTGTATAGACTGCATTTCTAGACAGGCATTATATGCGCGTTTCGGCTATGCATGACTTGGAACCGCCAATGTTGCCCAAAAATGCTGTTTAGGTAGGCGGTTGTTTTGGAACACAGACATTGACAGATTGGCAGGTATGGCGTTATTTTAATGACAAATGTCACACAAAACCGGCTGCACTTAAAACGTGTCTCTCCTCTCACTCAAACTGTCCCGTGCCCTCGCAAATCTCTCTGCGCTAG